GTAGCATTTTGAGGGTCTTATATAATGGATTTCTCAAACACATAATTCGTGAATATTTTATTAAAATTTTCATTAATTTGGGTTTTTTGTGGGGGCCAAGAAGTAACGTTATTATGTCCTGTACATCTGCCGGCCTGCAGATAACATTGTTCATATTATAGATCAATCTGCAGTCACCGGAGAAGATAAATTTCCAACAAATTTCATATCATAGGCCCTATTTAAATTCAACGGCTGGATGTGCTGGTAAATATATAATGCAATGCATGCTATAGCATTTTGTAATAATTAGGAATGATTTTGTAAAATAATAGGTTTTAAAAAGTGGACCTTTTGGAATTAAGGGGGGGGGGTACATCCGCACTCTCTGCTCCCCACCCCCTGCCTACGGGCCTGCACTATGGTCATCCGTTATTATTTGTTGTCAATTAGATTGTATTCAGTACCTGTATCGGTGCAGGTACGAACTATATGACTGAGCAATACTTTCCTCATGTACTTCTGGATGAGGCATCACAGGCTACTGAACCGGCAGCGATGGTGCCTCTACAATATGGCTGCCAAAGATTATGTCTTGTCGGGGATGATAAGCAGTTACCTCCGCTAGTGAAGAGCTCAAATGCTGACCAGCTGGAAGTCTCTATATTTGAAAGGTAGCGCTTCCATTATTTTGTATTGATCAGGGGCGGATCAGAATTTTTCGTTGAGGGGTGGGGCTACTGTTTTGAATCAACATCAGCATCCCAGCCCTACCATGGGATGATCCCCACATGATGCTGTTGTGGCTGATATCTAGTAATTTTAGAGGACTTAAATTTAATTTAGGCCAACATTCAATTCTATTATTTCACTATAAAAATATAGATGCTGGTAAAATTTTAGGGGGTGTGTTAAAGCCTATTTATCCCCCTTTTAAATCCACCCCTTCAATATAAAGCAGATTTCAAAAGTAAATGTAGGCCTACTGATTACATTGATTAAAAATGATAAATCGATTACAAGTATAATAGCATGGACCATAGGTCCATGATAATAGTGTGTCTTATAGGGCAGCGAATTTTTTTTAATTATTTTTCACTCAAATTTAAAAAAAGATTAATTTACTGAATTAATATTTTCGACCATAAAAATATAAAATTAATCTTAGAGACAAACAATACAAAAATAATAGCCAGGGACAGCTAGAGCAAAAAAAAAAAAAAAAAAGAAACAACTCAAGAGAGCCAGCTGCCCGTCCAATGGCATAAAGAATACAGTGAAGACAATTGTTTTTCAACTGTGCATGCCCGTATCAATCGACATAAAAAACCATGATACACACAACACATGTTTATGTCGACTTAGCTTGGATACGGGCATGCGCAGTTCGAACTACGAATTGGCTTATTGGAAGCTTTTTTTTTTAAATAAATTTTCTTAGCTTGACATAGTGTCTTTAAATATACCATGACCTTTTTTAATTGTTCATAGACTTAGGCAAACCTTTCCGACACATCTTCTGAACATTCAGTACAGGATGCATCCAACTCTAGCAGCATTTCCGTCTTTAAAGTTTTACGAGAATCAGCTACTGAATGGGGTTGATGCAAAAGACAGACCTCTTCCATCTGGATTTCCTCATAATAAAGGAAAGCCGCTGCTTTTCTTGGATACCTCCATGATTAAGGTAACACTCTCGTGATCACCAACGGAGCTACGTACATTGTTTCGATTTGCTGTATTTATTTATTGTACTAGTACTTTTGACCGGAATCCACTATCCTATCAATACCTGATGATGACCTATGGTCGAAAATAATAGTACAATAAATATCTTGTTTTTAAACAGATACAGAACTTCGTTTGACTTCTTACTTTATATACAAATCTGTCTATGCAGCAACTTTTATTTACATATATATATTATATATATAAATTTATATATATATTATATATATATATGTATAGGTCCATGTGTATATGTGTATATTATATGTATTTATATGTGTGTATATGCCTATATGTATATATATATATATGTATCATGTATATATATATGTATATATATATATGTATATGAATGTATATATATATATATATGTATATAACAACCAATTTTTTGTAGTTTGATAATTATATATCATAATCTATATAGTTTTAAAAGGCAAAGCCCTTTAAAACTGTCAAGAGTCTTTTAAACTCTTACTTAAACGAATAGTGTACCGAATCACTAATTGCAATTTTATTTTAATGCTATGTATGTTACATTTTCCTTTCTATAGAGCAGAGAGAAATCCGCTGGTGAGTCCAAATTAAATAGAGAAGAAGCCAATGAAATTAAAATATTAGTGGAGCAGTTGCTAAAAGCAAAAGATGTCAACGAAACTGAAATTGGAATTATATCTCCCTATACAGCACAGGTATGCTACAAATCATTCATATGCCTACATTGATTTGATTCACAAGAGCGATGCTTTCAGTGGCGAATCCAAGAATGAATTAAAATTGCAGGGGTTCAGATTGGGAATTTTACAGACATACATAAGCCCCACCCTGATGTAGGAAATTGTATGTCTATGGCTCTTCTATATGTCGAAAAATGCACTCTCAGACTAATATTTAAAATTAATTATATATATTTTTTTCTTTTTTTTTTATTTTCAAAAATTGTGTGGACCCAAGCCAGTTGTACTCCGCCCCCACTTAAATCCGCCAATTGTTATATTAAAGAATAACAATATTAAAATATAAAGATTGTTATCGTTTTGAACATTATTTTAGCCTACATTCTTTAGAAAATGTTCGTAATGATTCAAATACTAGGGAGTTTACGAAAACGATAACGAATACGGTTACCAGCACGTCTCAAAATTTTAGACAGCCCTTCCCCTACAGTAGCATGTCTGTAACAACGTAGTCGATTCATGCCTTTTGCATGAATCAAGGATCATATCGAGCTCGTACACCATACTGTCAAGGATATTGTAGGCACGAATGACGTATGGTAATGACGTATTCGTTATCGTTTTCGTAAGGTTTCGAAATCTCCATACTGAGTATGCAAATGAATAAATTATTCTCATATAATATTTCACCTACAGTATACAATAATTCTAATATTATATATTAAAATATTGCTTGTTGACTGGCGAATTGCATTTAGGTTCGTCTCTTAAAAGAGCTGCTTCAAAAACCAAAAATCGACGTCCACACAGTAGATGGGTTTCAAGGCCAGGAGAGGGAAGTCATAATTTTTTCTGCGGTTCGCTCGAATGACGACAAGCTTGTTGGTATGTATGACATAACATCTAGTCATTGCATCTTATACGTGGATTTAGCTGCCATAAATACTGTAATAAAGTATGGTGGTATGATGGTAGCTTGCCTATTACATTATATGTATTAAGGACCGGCGTTTTATTTCAGAAAGTCAGTCGTTTATATGAGAAAGGCGAACAGAAACAGTTAGGCCTATGTATTAACGTTCAAATTTAAGTAAAATAATCCGGTCAAATATAGTAATCTTATAATATATTGTTTTTATATGTACTTTTTGACAAATTCTCTTGCCAGGATGAGCATTATCATATTTTTGCGCCACTGGTGTTTGCTTGTCAATACTAACTTAGTACCTCTTAATCGAATTTAATAGGATTCCTTGACAACGAGCGTCGTTTTAATGTTTTGTTAACCCGAGCGCGAAGAGGTATGATCGTAGTTGGGAATTCGACTACTCTGAGAAGCAGTGCTTTATGGAGAGAATGGATAGACTGGACAGAACGCAATGCATGTAAGGCACATGTGAATCGTACGGATGGCCAGGTTACTGGACCTAGAAGTAGTCAAGGGAGGGACAGAGAAAACGAACATGCTAGTCAGGATGTGGCTAGAAATTACTCTGGAGCGAGGTCAAGAGATGGTAGAAGAGGTATGGGAAGAGGAGGTAGAGGAAGGGGAGGTAGCAGTAGGGGTGGTAGTAGTAAAGGGGGAAGGGGAATGGTCCAAAATTGGGAGCGATGGTAATTGATCTAAAACTTCATTGTAATGTTTGTACAAAGAGTACTGTTTTTTTCAATGAACGAAAATGGTAGATGTAAGGTGCAAACGCACACATACACACACGATAATAATCTAATTTCAATTACAGGTTATTACATATTAATGAAGGAATTACACAAGATTAAACAAAACGCGTTTGGTTATACATTTTGTATATACTTGTGCTTCATGTTAATAGCGTACACACAAGTAACAAACTAGGACATCAAAGTAGATTAATTTGATAAAAAAAAAACTACAAATCGCTTCCTTGTATTAACTTTCGTTTTATGCATTATTTAAAAAAAAGGCTGTTTGACTAAGTGACATATTAAAAAACGACATTGAAAGTTCTTATCAAATCATTGTGTATTGAATGAAAGCGCGAGTGACAAAACTAGAAGATGAGCAGGCTACCGTCACCCCAAACAATAATAATGACAAATAATTAAGAGATGCAGCATAAAAGTCTAATACACTAATATTGAAACTAATGAATGGTATCAAGTTTAGTTTAGACCAATTTTTTTTAGTAACAAATATATACAGATGTTTTGATAAAGTAAAATGTATTTTCTTTAGAACTTATAATATGAATTCATGTATTGTTGAACTTTGTAAAGTAGCATTACTAAAACAAAAAAATCGTTCAAACTCTCAATGTATATTATATCTCTAAATAGTATTATGATTTGCTAATAGTTTATTACATTACTATGGAATCCGTGTATATTTATGGCAATGATAAAGGTCAGATGATTTTTATAAGTGAAAATATTATTCTACACAAAATCAAAATAAGAACTAAAATGTATGATTATGCCACAAATGAATCGGAAGAGGTTTATAAAGATGTGTGGAGTTGATTTCTCAAAGATGGAATTGTTGAAGAAGAACGTTTGGTTTAAATAAATAAACGAAAACGAGGCATGGATAGTAGTATAGATAAAATACACCTAGGTGTTTTTTTGGAAATGACAACAAAAACGTTAAAGTAATATTTAGGTACCAAACGCAGGTAGTTAATACTGAACATTTGATTTTTTTATCCAACTATTTGAACGATATTGCTGACGTGCTGTCGTACACAATACTTGTGAAAAAATTCGCAAGTGATTCGGGTGACAATCGAACCCACGACCTCTATATAACTAGCCTGATGCCATAATTACTAGACTACCGAGCTTGTACTAAGTAACTAGTCTTGAATCCGATCCCCCAGCGGCTAATGCAAATGCTATTTCGCACCTATGATATTTTCCTGACGCAAACTCGCATCGAAATAGCATTTGCAGTTATCGCTGTTATTTAGGGATCGGATTCAACACTAGTCATTAATCGCAAGTCGGTAGTCTCAGCGCCAGGCTAGTTACTGGGGGTCATCGAATCACTTGCGATTTGTTTTCACAAGTATCTTGGAACGTACTGAGTATTCGGTAGGACAACACGTCAGGTAGGACAAAACTTCACACCTATGATATTTTCCTGACGCAAACTCACATCGAAATAATAGAAATATCATAAGAAGAAACCGGTACATATGTGAAATATAGGTTACTCAGTCGAAAAAAACTGTACAACGGGGTGTTTTAGAGTGTTTGCAATGATGCTCAATGAAATATATCATACGCCTCGAAAAATCTCTCAGTCACTTTGTTACTGTGAGGAGGATCACCCTCTGATATAAATGAAGGCTACTAAGTCTGTAAATGTCAGGTGGTTTCTGTACAACTGGGTATATGTTAGAGTGTTGGCAATGATGTTCAATAAAATAATATAATCATACTCCTCGAAAACCTCTTACAGTCACTTTGTTGCTTTACACTTTGAATATGGATCACCGTCTGCTATAAATAAAAAAAAAATCAATCAAAATTATAAACGCTTTTTAGTCTTTAATCCTGTCTCTTATACACATCTAGATGTGTATAAGAGACAGGTGTAAGTCCCTCCCTCGTTCACCTCTCTTTCGAATTCCTGGATCTGTCACTGTTGATGTATTATATAATTATTTTTTCGCTTATTTATAATGCGCCTATTGCAATTTTCACTTTATCCTCTCAAACAGTCCTAAGAACGTTAGCTAACTCGCGTTATAAGGTGATATGAGGTTATCTATAGGCCTACTTGAGCGTAATTTTGTTGCTTCGAACATTTTCAAGGGGCACCAGGGAGTGGGGAAGCGCCACGCCCTCCCCCTAGATACGCCACTGTCTTAATGCCCCTGTCGTTGCCTAATGTTGCTTACACTTAATGGATCTATTTATGTGTGTCCCTCATAAAATATGGTCATAGGTATTTTAATAGAAAGGTAAGTGGATATCATTTGGGAAAAAATATGGGATAAGGACACATACATATTTAAAGGAAAAAAACTCAAACTTTCTACCATATCTTGCCTATCATCCATCTAAGTGTCTGCAGGTATACTGTTAACACGGAGTAGTCGTTGAGGGCGATAGCAAGAGTGTTTACAGGTTCATATGAATCATTGCAGAATGAGTTTCTTGGGTTAAATATACAATCAGAACGCTTGCCATCATCTGAAAAAGAAATCAAAGCTAATAAAAAACTATACAAGAAACCATAATAGATTATACCTAACCATCTTATGTACTTTCTAAACAACGATAAAGAAGATATAGGCCTATATGTTATTCAACACCTGTATATATTCTAATAATTTTATTCAATTAAATGACTATTCAGTGTTTTAGTGACTAGTTAACGATCGTTTATAAGTACGTTTTCAGCTCTCAAACGACAATTCTTAAGTGCAACGAGAGAAATAAAACTACTGTAGGCCCCGCACGCGCGATTCGTAGGCCTATAAACATCCAATCTTTCAGCTCATGAACTATTCTATCCCATTGCATTCACATATATTCATTATTTGTATATTATAACACACCTAAATAATTATAGAGTTATGTATAACGTGTTCTGACGCATATTTACATTATTTTGTGAAGTGTTCATTTTGAGTGATCCAAAGAAAGAATTTGTATTGGCTAGCAGGAACAAGCTTTAAAATACTAACATTGTGTATTAAGGGGCGGGGGGGGGAGCTGCAGCTCTCGAAGCCCCCCACCCCCTGATACATCCACGCATACATGAAAATATAGACCGAAGAGAATCTAGAATTCGCAGATCATAGCATGACTGAGTAACAGCAGAGAAGGCACAACCGGCGTCCCATACATTATTGAAATTCCGGCCTTTGAATTGGTTTACTCGATTACTGTTATGTACAGCGTGACCACTGCTTGGGTATTTACCCAAGGGTATATTGACTTGGGTTCTTGGGTATGCCGTTCAAATCCTTGGGTATTTTATTTTTACTAAGAAAATTAAATATTTTTGTCATAGAGGAAGAATTAAGAAGTAACAATTAAAGTACATTTCAGTCCATTCAAGTAAAAAAACTCAACGAAGTGCACTTTTAAGTTAAAACAATGTTAAAACATTGTTAATTGACTGTTGATTGCTATAAACATGGGTTCAGAATTGTTTATTTGTGATTTGCGTTGCCATAGATCTTACCTAATTAATGCATTACATAATAAAACTTGATCACTGATCTACTGATAACACTGGCCGACTGAGGGCGTATTTTTCTATCCGTATTATCACCTCATGAATATTAATTTTAATAATTAACACAAACAATTACAACAACAAATTAGTTTATAAGAAAGTATAATACATACTCCATACTGGAGTATGTATTATACTTTCTTATCTGAGATTAATCAGTGGACCTTTCGGTTTTTTTTAGTTTATAAATTGAACTAAAAGGGAAACTATACATGCGAAAAACACGTATTTTTCAAATTTTAATGCATTATTCAGGAAGCTTGGGTAATTTTGGGCAATTTTTGCTGAATCTTGGGTAATTTCGACCCAGTCATTGGGTATATCAAAAATTGTGAGTGGTCACGCTGGTTATGTATGAAGCACTGCAGTAAACGTTCCCATCCCAGCCTTTTCCGGCCATCTAGAAGTCCCAATTTTTTTTTAAATCTCGTTTTGGGAGGAGGGGACACCCCCTCCCATGTGTCCCCTCCTCATACCCACCCCTGGTTCGGGTCTTCGGCCCTCAGATAAGCTGCGCGCTATAGTTACACCATGGACCTTCTTACCATTACGAGTAATGGAAAGTGTTATTTGAACTTGAGTTACATACACAGACAATTTTATTTTTTAGTTAGATCTGGGTTTTGCATATTTACCTAGGCCTACTAACAACTAAAAATATACGCTTTCAGGGGAAAGCACAAAGAGGAAGGAATAGCTTTCTTTATCAAATGAAACCGGGTGACAGTTATTTTCAAATTAAGAGAAGAGCTGAGAATAGGCAGCTCTAAAATACTGGATGCCAAAGACCTGCCAAAATGGCAGAGCACCAATGAATGTATAAATGAGGCCTAAGCCTATATGGTAAATAGTAGGCCTATCTGCAGGTTCTTGATTACAAGGCTAAACCAAGTTAATTAATGCCGAAATGATTATTATTATTCTTTATTATTATTATTATTATTATTATTATTATTATTATTATTATTATTATTATTATGTTATTAAAACCTACCTTAGGAACTTAGACAATGGAGAAATTAGAGAACATAAAAAAAACGACGTTAAGGGGAAATAGCACAAAAGATATTCCCTTGGGCTAGTTATTAGGCCTTGTAAATAGGTTCTTGATACAAGGCTTAGGCCAAGGTAATAATGCTGAAATGATTATTATTATTATTATTATTATTGTTATTATTTAACATTAATTACATTACAAGGATAGTTTGACCAAGTTCAATAACGCCGGATGGTATATTTTATTTATTATTATTTAATAATATTTCTCTTATGCACTCTATTTTTTATTTCATGCTTTAATTTTTCCCCCTTTTTTCAAAATTTCAATCAACATCATGTGAAGCGTGACTGTTGGTGTCAGCCTAGGACCCTAGCCTAGCCTATGGTAG